ATGAAAAAATGCTCATCATCACTGGCCATCAGAGAAATGCAAATCAAAACCACAATGAGATACCATCTCACACCAGTTAGAATGGCGATCATTAAAAAGTCAGGAAACAACAGGTGCTGGAGAGGATGTGGAGAAATAGGAACACTTTTACACTGTTGGTGGGATTGTAAACTAGTTCAACCATTATGGAAAACAGTATGACGATTCCTCAAGGATCTAGAACTAGATGTACCATATGATCCAGCCATCCCATTACTGGGTATATACCCAAAGGATTATAAATCATGCTGCTATAAAGACACATGCACATGTATGTTTATTGCGGCACTATTCACAATAGCAAAGACTTGGAATCAACCCAAATGTCCATCAGTGACAGACTGGATTAAGAAAATGTGGCACATATACACCATGGAATACTATGCAGCCATAAAAAAGGATGAGTTTGTGTCCTTTGTAGGGACATGGATGCAGCTGGAAACCATCACTTAGCAAACTATCACAAGAACAGAAAACCAAACATTGCATGTTCTCACTCATAGGTGGGAACTGAACAATGAGATCACTTGGACTCGGGAAGGGGAACATCACACACCGGGGCCTATCATGGGGAGGGGGGAAGGGGGAGGGGGGAAGGATTGCATTGGGAGTTATACCTGATGTAAATGACAAGTTGATGGGTGCTGACGAGTTGATGGGTGCAGCACAGCAACATGGCACAAGTATACATATGTAACAAACCTGCATGTTATGCACATGTACCCTAGAACTTAAAACTGCCTTTCTAACAGTCTCTAGGTGACGCTAACACTGCTGGTCTGGGACCACTTTGAGAACCACTGTTCTAGACTATTATTTCAAATGCTTGCTTTGGGATCAAGGTAAGAGCTATGTAACAAGAATATCAACAATGAAGACAGTTTTCATTTGATCTTTGTTGGTAGAGCAGCTCATGTATCTCTCATCTCAATTTTCTTTTATCTCTTAGTTTGACATTTTTTTGTAAGAGACTTTTATAAGTAAATTATCTTGACACTCTGAAGGTACAAATAGAGTAGAATGTTATATCAGAATGGGCTGGCTCAAGCACATATAAATCCAAACAATTGTCCCAATATCAAATGCCCCTAAGTGCCAGACAGGTCAGACAGTTAATACGAATGAGTGAAGTAGGCCAAATAGTGTGAAGAATTAGAGAGGTCCTAGCTAAAGAGGGCAGCTACCACTCAGCTCCAGACAACCATTAACCAATAATATAGGTTACTGTAGCCAGATCTTTCACATTTTCAAAATAAGCTGGAGATCCAACACTTTGTGTAAAATCTCTTAAGTTTTTAACATAAGCAATTAATTTTAAAAATTTATACACCGTATAGAACACACAAAAAGGTCTGTGAGCTGGATCCTGCCAGTTTATGACCTCAGATTTAGAAGAAAGTCTCAGGAGTAATACAAGTCATGCAATGTGCTAACCTGGTCACTGTGTGCCATGGGCCCACTCCCTCTAGAAGTCATCTACTTCCAAAATAAAAAGTACTTTCTCTAAAGACCTACTAAAGCTCCTCTGTATAAGTAGCTTGCCCACCAAAACAAGTTTCCTGCCAATGATCTTAGTATGAGAAAACTGTGGCAAAGAGAAATAAATTCTTTATATGCTGAAACTACTGATCCAAAAATAATGATTAGAATTAAAGTTGGACAAAAGGCCTGAATAGACATTTCTCAAAAGAAGACATACAAATGGGCAATAGGTATGTGAAAAAATGCTCAACATCACTAATCATTAGGAAAATGCAAATTGAGACCACAATGAAAGAGCCAGTGCAGTGGCTCATATCTGTAACCCTAGCATTCTGGGAGGCCTGGGCAGGAGGATTATTTGAGGTCAGGAGTTCCAGATGAGCTGGGGCAACATTTCCAGACCTCATCTTTACAAAAAATTTAAAAACCAGCCAGGCATGGTGGTCTATACCTGTAGTCCTAGCTACTCAGAAGGCTGAGGTGGGAGGATTACTACAGACCAGGAGTTTGAAACTGTAGTGACCTATGATTGCACCACTGCACTCCAGCCTGGGAGAATAAGCAAGACCCTGTCTCTTAAAAAAAGAGAGAGAAAGATATCATCTCACCCTAGTTAGAATGGCTATTATCAACAAGACAGGAAATAACAAACGCTGGTGAAGATGTGGAGAAAGGGGAATGTTCATACGCCATTGGTGGGAATGTAAAGTAACAAAACCATTATAAAAAACAGTATAGAGGTTCCTCAAAAAAACTAAAATACATCTACCATATGATCCAGCAATCCCACTGCTGGGCATATATCCAAAAGAAAGGAAATCAATATATCAACAAGATATCTAAACTCTCCTATTTATTGCAACACTATTCACAATAGCCAAGATACGGAATCAACCTAAGTGTCCATCAATGGATAAACGGATAAAGAAGATGTGGTATCCAAACAATGGAATATTATCCAGCCAGAAAAGAGAAAGAAATGTTGTCGCTTCTTTTATTGCAATATGGATATTACTGAAGGTCATTATGTTCGTTACAATAAGCCAGAGACAGAAAGACAAATATCATATGTTCTCACTCAAGTAGGAGCTAAAAAAGTGGATCCTATGGAGACAGAGTGAAGAATGATGGTTAGCAGTGGCTGGGAAAGAGGTGAAAGCGGGATGAAGAGAAGTTGGTTAAGGGGTACAAAAATATAGTCAGAGAGAAGGAATAAGTTCTAGTATTCAATAGTACAGTAGGAAAATTATAGTTAATAATTTATTGTATGCTTCAAAATGGCTGAAGATTTATAATGTTCTCAAAGAAAAGTGTTAAAGGTGATAGATATCCCAATTACTCTGATTTGATCACTACACATCATGAACAGATACTCAAATATTACATGTACCCTAAAAATATCATAAACAAGATTTTTAAAAATTAAAAAGGATTAAAGTAACTGGTTTTTCAAAATCTGTAACATTTAAAAACAAGGAAACTGGGCTTAGAAGTACTACAGATTTGAGGATTCTCAAACATTCTATCACAATGGTGATGTGATTTGGTACCCAGTAGTTAAACATCTTTGCCTGAAGACTGGATAAACTGAGAAATCAGTCCTTATGCACATGTTGAAGACAACTATACAGGCAACATGGAATAGATGCACAATAATTCAAATTTCAAAGGTCTACTCTGATTAGCAGTGGCAGCCTGGTGCACTGTGTTAAGGATTCTGAAGCTGAACCCTGATTCAGTGGAAAAGATGGGTGTCAAAGGCCTAGAAGAGGGGAATAGTAGCAGATGTGCCCCATATTTGGCTACCTTTGAATAGTAAATAAAAACACTGCACCTGTGTTCAGAAATTCTAGTTCTCCTATAATGTATTAATATAGCAACTAGAATAATACCTTTTAAATATAAATAGGATCAAGTCACCCCTCCCAATAGTCTTTCATTCCACTCAAGAGTAAAAGCTAAAGTTCTTTTTATTACATAAAAAGCCCTACATTATCTCGCCCTCCATTATATCTCTGATATCATTTCCTGCTGCACATCCTATTGATGCCATTCCAAAACATACTGTTTCTTTGTTGTTCTGTAAACACACTAGCCACGTCTCTGCCTCAGAATCTTTGAATCTGCTATTCCCACTGCCTAAAAATCTCTCCTCTGGATATTTACATAGTTCACATTCTCATCTTCTTACCAATGAGAACTTCCTTGACTACTCTGTTTTTAAAAAACTACACACACATACACACACACACACACACACTCTCTCTCTCTCTCTCCTAACCTCCCTTTTGCTTTATATTTTTTACAATACTTGCTACCATTTGACATACTAAATACTTATTTTCCTTCACCTAGAATGAAACCTCCATGAGGGATGCATTTTTGGCTGTTCTGTTAATGACTACATCCCTAGAATAGTGTCAAAAACATGACATTCAAAAAAAAACAAAAACAAAAACCAACAACAATAACAACACTGGATAAGTAAGTAAATGAACAAACAAGTAATAAAACAAATGAACCTGGATTCTATCATGGGTTCAGTGACTAACCTCAGATGAGTTATTCTGGTCCTCAAAGGATCCCTACCATTAGTTGTATAAACTATAACATTCCCGCCATTTTATAAAAGTAGAAATTAAGTTACGGAAGAATGGCATCATTTCCTCTAGGCCAGTCAGTAGTATAGTGGAAAGCCAGAACTAGACGGGTCTATCAGAGTTCAAGCCCAATGCCCAATCTGAGCTCTTTTATAAACAACGGAATTATGACAGATGAGGATCAAACTTCAGAATTTAAGAATGTAAAAATAAAAAGTTCCTGAAGAGAAAAATCTTTACTGGTAATAGTCAAGAAGAAAATGCAGACTCCTTAGCTTACTTTTTCCCAAAATTTTTATTGCTCTACTCCTTAAATTCCTATGAACATTAATAAATGTCTATGGTTGAGGGAAAATGTTCCACAGTAGAGAAAGGAAAATACATCCAGTTTTTCATATGAAACTGGAATAATTATATATTCATCTTCTGAAAAAACTGAGAATAATCCTTTCAGCAGGGTTAAAATTAGGAGAATAGTTAGCAAAACAACAAGGACACCACAAAACAGCGTCAATCACCCTCCAATCTAATTCTTAAATATAAAATCAAAACCCCAAATAAACTATTAAAGACAGTTGCAATTTCATTTGATGATTGAACACTTCTCTCACCATGAACAATTTCAAACTGGACAAAAAGAAAAAGTGAATATGGATTTTGAAAGCAAAAAAGATGCCACTAATCAGGGACCAGAGAACTGCTCAAACATCAATCAAAACATTGTCCTTCAGCTCAGCAGACACTGTCAGGGATGGTTTAGGAGACTCAAAATGCATAAGAAAATGCTTGGGCACTTTCAGTGAAATGACGTAATTGAATGTGTGATGTTTCAAATAACTTGCCCCAAAGACATAACCATTTACTTCCAACACTACTTACAAACTCGTAGTCTCCATCCTGTGGTATTTTCCAATCTGAAGAATTTTTCAGTGGACCAGGTACACTCTTGCCAAAGCTGTTGATCTGGTTTTCCTTTTCTTTTTGTTCAAAATATTCAAGAAAAGATGGTTTTGCAGGCTGCATGGTCTCATCCCTTCCTGAAAACCAAGAAAAATGAAAAATGAAAAGAAAATCTCTAAAATTTTAGATAAGTTTAATAGACCTACCTCCAGATGGGCTATAATCTCTGGATCAGTGGATATTTCGGTTAAAGGACTCCTTCAAGAATCTAGTGAAACTAGAGAAAAACGCACAAATGCTTGCTCAAAAAATTCTCATGGAATTTCAGAGGACTTAAGATTTCCCCTAAAATACATTCATAGATTTCCCTGGGGTCCCTTTTCCTAGATGGAAAGATTTGGGTGATGCAATAATTCTGATAATCTGCAAATAACACATTTGGAGTCTCCTATAGCAAATAGCCCCTATAATATTTAGAATGAAACAGAAGCAACCAAAAATATTTATTTAGCATCTATCATATACAATATTCTCTACAGGCACTTAAGTAGGAAGAGGGGATGATACAGTAGGGTGACTTTCTTTGATAATCTCATAATCTAACTGGAATAATGAGAAAAATATACATGAAAAAGAAAACATAAATAAATCACAATTAATCCATTCTATGAAATATTATGTAACTTTAAAAATACTATCTACGTACGGCTTACAATAAACTTAAGGGAAAAAACAGGATACAGTATTATATATACAGTAAGATTTTGACTCTATAAAATCATATATAGGAGAAAAAAAAACTAGGGGAAAATACCCAAAATGTTAACAGGGTTCATCTCTGGTAGCAGCACTATTGGTGATTTTATTTGCTTCTTACGAACATTTTTTAAAGAAGATGGTATTGAACAGGTATTAAATAAATAGAACTGATTACAAGAATTATACGTGCCCAGTTCTTGCAGGCTGTGTGGTCAGGGAAGATTGGTAAAAGGGGACTTAGACTGGGCCTCAAATCATCCTGGAGTAAAGCATCAGCAGTTACAAAGCAGCAGTAACCATTAAGAGAGCAGAATACAGCAGCTATTAGTTACTAGTAACAAGAGCAGAAAGAATAATTTTACCTGGCATGATTTAAAAATCAAGCTAGCTGAATGCACCTGTTTCAAAGGTTGAAGTATCTTTGTGCCTGTGATTAGTATTCTAATATAGGGAGATACAGGAAGTATTTTTCATTGCTTTCCATGAACATAGGGGTTTATATGGCCCTTTCCCACAGTAAACAGGAAAAACAACCAGAAGGTTCAGCACCTTAAGAAGCAGATAAGAAGGTATCTAGAAGATAAAGAACAGCAAGTGTTTCTCTCCAGGCGCCCTTGGTCTATGCAATCTTACTTATTTCATGACACTTCCTAGTCCAGTTTCAGGCCACCCGCCCTACCTCTCAGAACATTTGTTATTTTTCTCACTATCACCATTGCTAAGATCAAGAGCAGCCAATCCCATATCTGCCCACATCCACACACTGCCAATGGCTTCCTACTACACTGTTTTCTCCTCACTAATTAAGAATTAAATACATTATTTGCTAGGACCAATCAGCAAGTATATAGTGTTTTGTTTTGTGTGCTCTAGGTATGATGTTAGGTACTTTTCATGCTTGTTTTCATTTTTAAATTAAATTTAAGGCACTACTTCATATATAGTTCTGCAGGAACTACAACAAAATAAAACTTGTAAAAATGGTGGTGCATTGGATTTGCCAATGAGTCGGGAAACTATGTTCTTTTGCTCAGTCCCCTCCTCTCAGACCACCAAAGGAGAAGACTGGCTCAGAGACAACTCTGCAGCAATCTTACACATAATCCTACACATTAAAAAAAAAAAAAAAGTATTCAGAGAACCCCCTAAAGTCAAGCAACTTCAAAAGTGCTGCAAACTGCTGGCATATATAATACACAGTATACTTTTATACAAAATATCTCAACCCGCTGAACAGAATAGAAAGCTTAGAAACAAAATAAAAAGTCCAAATGGCTACCTGAATAATGGGACAGCTATTTGAGAAAAGATTAAATTGAATCTATATCTCATACCTTAAGCCTGGAAAACTCCAAATGGATAAGAAATCTAATTGCAAAAAATGGAAACCTTTAATACTGAAACAAAACGTGTGAATGCATTTAAAACCTGGTATGGAAAAGACTTTCCAACTATGATATAAATCCAGATATAATTTTAAAAATGGTTAAAAACCTTTTATGTGAAGAAAACACCACAAATTTTAAAAAATTAATAATCACACATACAAACCTCATAAGCCAAGACAGAAGACAAATGACAAGCAAATACCATTAAAATGTTTTAAAGAATTTTCTTTTTATTTAAAGAAAATTTTAGCCAGGCGTAGTGGCTCACGCCTGTAATCCCAACACTTTGGGAAGCCGAGGAGGATCACCTGAGATCAGGAATTCGAGACCAGCCTGGCCAACATGGTGAAACCCCATCTCTACTAAAAATACAAAAATTAGCTGGGCGCGGTGGCAGGAGCCTGTAATCTCAGCAACTTGGGAGGCTGAGGCGGGAGCATCACTTGAACCCAGGAGGTGGAGGTTGCAGTGAGCCAAGATCATGCCATTGCACTCCAGCCTGGGCAATAGAGTAAGATTCCACCTCAAAAAAAAAAAAGAAAAAGAAAAAAGAAAGAAAGAACATTTTAAGAATTATTTATATGTTAGGGAGATAAGCTCCCAAGACCTTCTTAAATCAAGGGAAAGACAACAGAAGAAAAGAAGAAAACTAAAGACTTGAAAAGATAAAAAACACACAAAGATATCCAACGGGTCCTTAAACATGAAAAAATTGCTGAGCTTCACTCATAATAGGAGAAATTCAAATTAAAACTACTTAGAGGGACCATTTCTTACATTTCAGACTGGCAAAGCTTCAAAAGCTTGAAAACACACTATCTGCTGGCAAGGCTGTGGGGGCACAGGCACTCACACATTGCTGACCTGGAATGCAAAATGGCATAATCCCTGTGAAGGGGATCTGACACTATCTAAATATCAAAATGTGAAATTGGGAAAGGCACAGCAACTTGTTGTGTTGTATTTGAACTGAGGTATTATGACCTCATGATTTACAAAAAAAAAAAAAAAAAAAAAAAAAAAAGACATTTCTGAGCTTTCTTCATCAAAAGGCATTGGAGCAATGACACTCCAGTACAAATAAGCACGTGTCAGTGGCTCAGATACTGGTTTTCAAATACCATTTCCTGCTAAAAGGAACTAGAATTACTTAAGAAAAACAGGTGATTCCAAGTCTAAGGCAGGAAAATTACAAAATGGACCTGAATCTGGAATATTTTTTGTGCCAAAAAAAAAAAAAAAGCCAGCAAGTACTCAAAAACTGATGGGGACATATCAAAAGGATACATGAGCCACCTTGAAGGGCCCTCACTGGTAAATTTTGGGACACTCTGAGCATCAAAAAGAATGCACTCAATAAGAGATCAGAGCAATAATCTAAAAGTGAAGGAGGTTTGGGAGAGAAGTGAGAACTCTTCTTTAGAAACATTACTATTTACGCTGGGCACAGTGGTTCACACCCTGTAACCCCAGCACTTTGGGAGGCCAAAAGAGGAGCATCCCTTGAGCTAAGGAATTTGAGACCAGCCTGGGCAACATGTTGAGACCTTGACTCTACTAAAAATAAAAAAAATTAGCCAGGCATGGTGGTACATGTCTGTAGTCCCAGTTACTTGGGAGGCTGGGAGGTCAAGTCTGCAGTGAGCCATGATCATGCAACTGCACTCCAGCCTGGGAGACAGAGTGAGACATGGTCTCAAGAAATAAAAAGGAAAAATCACTCTTTGACCACTTTATTGTGGTAACAAAAAAGAGCATCTCCTTTGTAGGAAATACAAACAAAAGAGGATATCTTCTTTCTTAGGAAATACACACTTAAAATTTGAGAGTAAGCTGCATATATCACACACCCACCTCTCTCTTTTCATTATTTCTGTCACTTGTGTCTATTTATCCATCCATCCATTCATCTTTATATATGCACAGATAAATGACTAAATTGAGTTTATCAATAAAAATGGTGACTTCTGCACAGAAATAACAGGTAATTTAAAACTTTTTCTCCAATGGAATTTACAAAAACCATAAGGGCATCATTCTTGTTTAAAAAGTATTATATCCAACAATATATTTCTATGGTTCTTCATTAATTCCTTTCAGTTGCAATACAGGTGGACTTAAGAAATTGAATCTTTAAACCAAGGATGATGAAACACTAAAGATAACATTTCTGTGGTCTAATTCTAAACCATGTCATAAAAATCAAAGAAATGTCTGTTAAGCGAGAATATAATCATTTGTCTAACTTCTGTCACTGTTCAGATGAAAAAGTGAGAACATCTGCCTTCCTCATATTTGAGTTCTTCTTTCTTACCAAACCACTTAAAAATTTCTAATTTTTGAAGTTAAAACACCAACTGTTCTTTGTCTCTTTCAACAGTGAAAATCCACAAATAAGGAAGTCTATCTAAAATATATTTGCTTTTACCTTCTGATATCAATAGCAGGGACCTGATTATACCTGACATTTACTAGAATTCAAATTTCCAAAAACTAAAGTGAAATAAAAAGAGAAGTTTTTTATCTAATCACATATTTAGATATAAGCTGCAAGTAAAATGCACATATGTATTAGAAATTTAATTATAGCAAAATATTTAGTTAAAATGTTACATTTATCAGACTGCCAAAAAGCTGAAGTTGATTTTGGAGACAGAAGAATGGAAAAATCCCTCTCCTCAAGTTTTATGTTATGTATATTTTACCACAATAAAAAAAAAAAAAAAAAAAAAGAAAAGGAAAGTAAATCCCTATTCTGCAGTTCAAAGATTTAGATTCCAGTTCTGACTATACGATCTTGGTAAAACCACAGGTTCCCAATCTGCAAAAAGAAGACACAGGGCTAGATTACATCTAATGTTCCCTGAAGCTTTGAAAAGTTCCAGGATTTTATGACTTGGCAGTACCATATGAAAACACATTTATACTCAGTTATTAATAACTATTCAAAAGAAGAAGTTCTTATCTCTAGTAGGATTATGATACTGGAT